GTTACTTGGACTAAATGGATCGTTTTGTGCATACTTTATTGAAGACCAAAGATCATTATGTTGTTTCTGATACATTACCTTCCTGAGGCATAGGGGACATTTTTTTTTAATCATATACTGTATGTTAGGGATTCGGTAAGAGAAACCGTAACTGGCGAATGAACCCACTTGCAGGAGCTAATAAAGCCTAGCCGTGATCCAAAGAAAGCCGTAGTCGAAGAAACGAGCCGAGAGTCCAGGGGAACCCAGAGATCCAAAACTAAGCGTGAGTACCGAAGCCAAGCCGTGCTCCAAAAAACCGTCGTCAAAGGGGGAAAATCCGTAATCCGAAAACCAAGAATGATACAAGACAGAAGAAGGAGCAGCACAACCAGGAAGCTCGAAAGGAAAACCAATACTGAGCAAGGAGGTAGGGAAAGACAGGTGTTTAAGTACAGGATGAGACGGCGGTGTGGTGGTGAATAAGAAAACTGATAGGTAAACTGATGGAGTAAGGCTATGCCTTCTTCTGCCTCTTCCGTTGCCGGGAGGCAGGGATCGTAACATTATCCCCCCCCCGTCTATGGGCGGCTCCTGATGCCCTAGCGGGACAATCAGGGAAGTTGAGGTGGAAGTCTCGGATGAGGTTGGGATCCAGAATATCCTTCTCTGGAACCCACGAACGCTCCTCTGGACCGTAGCCTTCCCAATCAACTAGATATTGCAGGGATCCACGAGACCATCGGGAATCCAGGATCTTATTGACAGTGTAAGCAGGGAATCCATCAATTACACGAGGCGGTGGGGGTTTTTGTAGTGGTTTCGACAGGGTGGATCTGTGAAAGGGCTTAAGGAGGGAAACATGGAAAGTAGGGTTGATCCGAAGGTTAGGAGGCAAGGCCAGCCGATAAGTTACTGGGGTAATCTGGGTGAGGACACGAAAAGGACCAATGTACCTGGGAGCAAGCTTGCCAGAAGGTTGCTTTAGAGGAAGGTTACGGGTAGACAACCAAACAAATTGACCACGTCGAAATCTGGGTGGGATTCGACGGCACCGATCAGTCACCAACACTGTAGGCCTACATCGGATGGTGGTGCACGATATAAAGAAAAAAAAAGCTTTTAGAGTATATTTGCGAATTTGAGTAGGTCTACTTGCATTTTCACATGACAATTGTGAATTTATTAATTCGCATCTAAGTTCATACACGAGATATTACTCTCCTTTTCTGTACCTTCATACTAAATAGAGGGGTATTTCAAGTTTCCTTTGTTTACATCATAAAAAATGTGGTAAACTGATATTTGATTCAAACTAAATCACTTGGTTTAACTAAAGTGCGCTTCAGTTAAAAATACAAAATTCTTAATTTTGAACGCAAGATAGTGTACCTGTCTCTGACCCTGGAAATAAAATTATATTTAACCACCTACAATACTGAATGTATTACTTGCTATTCTTTAGCCATAAGTACATTACTTCTTTCAGTTGTTTTCAAATTAAAACAGTTTTTTAGTTTAAATAGTAAATACACACAAGTATATTTCAGAAAGAGGCAACACTTGTCGTCTCTGCTGCTAAGTAAGCGCTCCTTCTAGAATTTAGTGTGTGTATACTGCCCTCTTGAGGTTTAGTATTCACTTAGATTTAGCTTCCTAAAAATTGAAATGGGATTGCTGAGAAATTCTTCTGAAAATGATTCAATTTTGGTTTGCATTCATATATATAATACAGTATAAGACAGTATAAAAGCCTATAATAGTGTGAACAAATAATCTCCTTAAGATGCTTTTCCATTTATTGCTTTATGGTTTGAGAGAGTTCAGGTTATAGCAGATTAAAATAAATCAGTTTGTATAATGTACAAGTGGAACAACATTAGGTAATGTGAATAGTTTTGAAGTAAAACCCATGTTAAGAAAGAATGAGGGTGAAAAAGTTTGCCTGCTTTTCCTAGTGTATTCACCTCTCCACCCTGACAAGCACATTACTTGGAAAATAATCCAAAAATAATATAAAGTATATCAGTAAAAATATTTCACGCACAATAGGATGAGCCAAATTAAAACAAAGCTTTCTTGATGGTGATGCTTCCACTGAATGCAACATAATCGATTAATGCTTCAATTCTCCAGTCATGCATCATCCATGACCTCCGCTGTCATCTTATGTAGGCTCCTTAAGGAACCAGGTATAGACAGGTCACAGGGGAAGCAAGTCAGTGCTGAATGGACAATGCCGTTACCTCAGCAACACCACCTACAGAATTGTTCTTGGAACTCATCTGTTATATGTCCTCACAGGAAATGCTCTTACCCTCAGCTTGCCCTCACTTCAGCACCTTTTCAAGTGGAATAATTACTGTTCTTGGCTCAATATGACATTGGTTTTGCCTAATTAGTCCCATAGCTGACTTAACAGTTTGTCAGTATGTGGACCAGGTCCATGGATGATAAATTGTAGGAAATAAAAATACTTTAGAATATCCCTGTCAGTAATGCAGATATCCCTCTCAATTTCTGTATACAAAGGAGAACTTGCAGCATATGAGGCTGACATTTAATATAACTTTTTTAAAATTTGTATGTAGTGTCTTTTCGGAAACAAAAGGACAAAACTTTAGTTAATGACTCAGAGAAGTTAAAGAGACCTGGCTTTCAGAAGTACCATTATTTTTTTATATCCAGAAGCAAATTAGTTCTTACATATTGCATAGTGTGAGACACAGGGATGTTTTTCTAGGAAGGTTAAAATGCTATGTAGCATCCTGATAATGAAATAATTCAAGAAGACAGCAGTCCCTGCCATAAGCACATTGAACATGTCCTTCTTTGCTTTATGTTATTTTATGTATAAATATATACAAATAGAGATCCAGAATGTGATCTATGCATAAACAGCACAGAATCAATATACTGTACTAATAAGGACAGGAAATATTAGGTGTTAATATCAAAGGTTGTAATATCAAACATACACAATGCACAGTAGCCCCTACAGGTTCTCGCTAAACCTCTCCTTTTAACATCTATTTTTGGTATATTAGTGTTATTGTGTGTAATTGTATGTTATTATTGCCATTTTCAATAAACATGTTGTAGTTAGCATCAGTAGTATTGACACTGTAAATTTACAGCACTACTATCCACAAATTAAGTGGAATTCAGTGAATTGATTTGTTAATCTATGTGTTCAACAATTATAGAGATTATAGAGATTTGGTGAGCTGATTGAATTGAGAATTGAGATACACTTACATACCCCTTTTCAGGACACTCTACCCAGAGGAAATAGAGACTCCCCTCCACCACCAACAATGGACAGCATTCACCTGGATGATGCAACGGCAGCCATAGTGCACCTGAAGACCCACCACACATCAGCTATCAGCGGGGAGGAGAACAGAGTAATGAAGCCAAATCATAGAAGGGGATTATTAGGAGGCCATGTTTGGTAAAGGCCAATGGGAAATTTGGCCTTACTCTTTTCGAGACACACCCTAGGATTTTTAATGACCACAGAGAGTCAGGACCTCAGTTTTACGTCTCATCCGAAGGACGGCTCCTTTTTACAGTGTCCCCGTCACTAAACTGGGGCATTAGGACCCACACAGACAGCAGGGTGAGCACCCCCTGCTGGCCCCACTAACACCTCTCCCAGCAGCAACCTTAGATTTTCCCAGGAGTACCTGGTCCCCCATCCAGGTACTGGCCAGGCTCACACCTACTTACTGTAGCTTCAGTGGGCAGCCAGTTGTGAGTTGCAGCGTGATATGGCTCCTGGCAGAATGTTCTTTGGCAATGTAAATTAGAGTTCCACAGAGATCTGTACCAGTTCTGCTGATCTCCCAGATTTATTTCAATGATCTAGACTAATATAATCAATAAAATAGGCAGGTTTGCAGACCCTACCAAAAGAGGAGGATTAGTCAACTACTGTATATAAGCAGCAAATTAAATTGAAAAAGTTGTTGTTGATAACATTCAAACTGGAAAACCATCTGGCAGATGACAGTTAATATAGAGCAAAACGGAATATTACACACAGTTGGCAAATACAAACTAAACAATGGGTATCATTGATTTTGAAGAGGCTATATATGAAAAGGGTATTTTTTGTTGACATCATTTACATCTTTTAGACAGGGGAAGGAATAAAAAAGAAAAAAACATTAGGATACATAATGCTAAGCATAGAATGTAAACCAAGATATGTTACAATGAACAAGTTAGATCACCTTAAAAACACTATATAGAATGTTATAATATCACCATATTATAAGTACAGTCCTGGGTTTAAAGGAATGTCTGAATGTCTTTATTAGTCTTGAACAGAGAAGACTGTCACCTTGAACAGATTGGAGACCTGATCCCATCATTCAAAATAATCAAAAGAATTAGAAAAAAGTCAAGCCAATGGTCACAAACCAGGGGACACAAGTGGAAACTGTGTGCAAGTGCATTTAAAAAAAGGTACTTCTTTGTGCAAGGCTGAATAAGCTAACCAGCCATGTTGTCAAAACCAATACATTGGCTTCTTTCAATAAATCACTAGTTAAGATCCTGAAATCAATGAGCAAATTACCAAATGGGCTAGAGGAGCAAAACTAAATTGTCTCATTTGTAAACATTCTTCTGTTCCTACATAAGGCAATGAGAGCAATGTGCTTTAACCAGTAGCAGTTATCTATTCACCATAACATGTTTTTGTTACTAATTTTTCTATGCTTTACCAATGCAAGGCACATAACAGATACACAAAATATATAGAGGTTGGAAAGTCTGTAGTAGGCCACCTATTTTCCATTTGTCCAAACTCCAGCTACTAGTGGAAACTAAATGTAATAAGGAATAATCACAGAACTGAATCAATAAGAAAGGCAAGGTGTATCCTGAATGTAGCTCCTAAAAGGTAATTTAATTCTTAAATCACTGAACACTTTTCATGTGACAAACTGCTATATCTAATGGAAACAAACAAGTTCACAAGAGGTGATGTAAAATTTTATTTTACATGTACAAAATAACCATTAACATTTTCAGAAAACCAGTTCTCATTCAAATTTAAAAAGTTTAGCTGTTTTAAAAAGTTATACATGGCTCTTATGAAAGCAGGTTTTGCATATTTACAACTTACATTAAATTAACATTGTTTTTTTAACAGTCCTCCATGTTGTTAGTTTTGGAATACTTCATCTGTGTGTACAGGAGCAATGCAGGTTCTTCACACATATTTAGCACACTGTACATCTGCCCTAAAACGATAAAAGGGGATACAATTTTGAATGACAACAAATGTTATAAAACATGGAACAAAACTCAAAAGATTTAATTAAACCTGCAAGAGCTAACATCTGAATTTTATATCACTTAAGCTATTTATGATTACAGCGAGTATACAGAATTAAATTTATTAAGACACAAGTCAGTAAAACACAAAGCATTTTTTATACAGTCATAATGACAAATACTTCTAAGGCGTGTTTTGTAGTGCAGGGACAAATATTAAGATATTCAAAAACATATACACTCATACTCCTGTATAAGAATGTTCGGTATAAGAATTTTCTCTAAGGCAAACATGAAAAATGCGTACCTCGTCATTCGTTATAAAAACGAAATTTCACTAATCTGAATTTTGAAGTTTGAAAGTGACTGACTTTGGCCGAGAACCTTCTGCAAACATTTGAATTCAGTGCCACCGAACAGCTGTTTCTTTCTGCGCGGGCACAAAGCATTATGGTTAAGGACACTGAGGAAGCAGTCCTTTGTTTATGATCACAGCTAAAGCTTGTGCTCTCATTTTCAAAGTGTTTTTTTGTGTATGTTTTGTGTTTTTTTGTAGTTTCTGTTCATTATGGGCCCTAAGGAAGAGAAAGATTCTTTAGCATAATAGTAACAGTATGTACATCATTCTAGCTGATAGCTTGGATAGAGGTCTATTATGAAAGAATAAATGTGAATGACATTAATTATTTTACAGCTATAGTTTATAGTTATTTAAGTAAAACTGTGCTGTTCACTAAGCTTGCTATAATGGTCTGTATGGTATTATGTTTAGAGGTTTTTGACATCCTTGTTTAAAACAAAATTTTTTTTTTTAAATCTTTAGAAATATAACCCATCAGAAGCTTTAGTTAATTTTGTTTAGAATTCATATAAATAACACTGTTAAGTGACCAACAGATACATTATAGATGGGCATGGTAAAATTGATCTCCATGTACAGTATACAATTTACATACACATTCGCATCTCTACATATTTGTCTCTTTTTTACACGTTTCCCAGCTAAGGTGTGTACAAGTGAAAATTTACTTTCTACAGATATATACTGCCTCAAACTACAAAAAGACAATATTGCAATACAAGGAACATCCAGAAAAGTTGGGTGTAATTTTTTGTACCCAAATTCGGCTCAGCTTAAGATGACAAAAGAATGGTTTAAAAGTTTCCTCCAGAATTATCTAACATAAGGGCAATTTCATGGCTGTCAATGATGGTAAGTTTTGTAGTGCAGGGACAAATATTCAGATATTCAAACATCTGAGGTCCTGAGGCAAAAACAAAACATTGGGGCAGCTTTTCCACCTCAAGAAATGTATGGCTTCTTCTGTGGGAAAACTGTTTGGTTTTTACCCAGCAAAATTTAACATGTTTCTCAATGACTCACAACTTCTTCATGCTGACTGAAAAGGCTGACTTTTGTCTCATCTGTCTAGAGAAAATTCTTCCAATAGTCTTGTGGATTGTCCAGATGGGATGTAATTCCCATAAATATATACTGGGAGTTATTTTTTTTTCACAGCACTCTTACTACTATGGGAGTTGTACTTCAAATACTATTTTGACACAGTTTACTGGTTGAAATAACCTATGAAAAGTATAAGTGACTTTGCCAGGAATGCAAAAATTTAATTCCCAAGAAACTAAATCTTAGCATTAACCGATCAGAAAACTGTGACTGTATATGAAATAAAGGTTTGTAATGTAAAAGGCTTGTAAAATAAGAGCCAGCTATATGATATACCAATTACACAATATAGAAATGTGTAAGAGTTGTGACAGTGGAACACACCTCCCACTGCACAGCGCATGGGAATGCGCAGCTACCACACCGGAGGCTAATCAAGGCTGCGCTTTAAAGATCCCCACGCGCCTGCAGATGGGGTTCTTCGTAGAACCAAATGTGTTCCCCTCACAGGTGACACAAACATTTACTCCGATCCACGAAAGGATTCTCTCTTATACTAGAGAACAGAAACATCTGCAGACGACTGCACAGAAAACAACAAGCGCTCTGCAGGTGCTCAGGCAGCTTCCTATTACATCCAACACTATCACAGAGTTAATCCTGAACAATGGAAAGAAGGCTCTCAGTACAGAAAAATATTCTGTTAGGGAGTTTGTTTAAACATTCTTTCAGGCTATAAAAGAAACTCAATTGTAACAAAAAGGTCACATTTTTATGTGCCTGTAAAAAAACAAACAACAACACAATCAGAAAGTCTTATTAACATATTAGGGCAAAACATACCATTACCATTTTTAATATTTACACCTCCTCATTAAAGTTATAGGATCTTAAATCAAGTATCATCCAAAGATGGTGTCCAATGCTGGATATTTTTTTACAAAACTATAGCATTGCTAGCAATTACTTGTGTAGCGGCTTACTATAAAAAGTTCTTTAGCAATTACTTTGGTCAACAAAATTCCCATACCAGGTGAAATGCAGAAAACATCTCCTGAAGAAAGATTTTGTTCCTGAAGATCAATTTTTACATGGACAGTCCCAGCCAGAACATTGAAAATCTGAAATAAAACCAGAACCGCTTTTCTTAGAACTGTGATTGAATTAAGTCCAGCAGACAGTATATCCTAGCTTTTTCAACATAAAAGCACACATTCTGTAATAAAACTGCTATATGGCAAACCATCCACCTGCTCACCTCCCTGTGTATGAACATATAAATTACAAACGCTGTGTGAGTGACAATAAAGACAATTTCATGGGCAACAGAGATTTATGTCCATCTAATGCTGAACTCCGTTTAGCAGCTGTGACACTGCCAGCCCACACTAGCTGTGTCATGTGTTAGTTTTGGGGTTTAATATTTTTTTAGCTGATATTGATTGGTTTAAGCATAATTGTGTCTTTTGTAGTCAGATTATTACAAACTTTATTACAAAATCTTAAATATATCTAATTCAAGCAACTAAAATTGAGCAGCAAAATAACATGCATGCACAAGGACCTGGAATCAATTTAAATAGAGTACATCAACTTACAAAAAAGCATAAGTCATGTAATTTTGAATTAAGCAGAAGAATTTGTAATACTACTCACCATCGCATCACTGACAACTAACTGACTATTTTTTTTCATGAATGGCCCCAACAGGATTTTCCCTTGTGAGAATAAGGGGCATTTAACATTTTTAACCAGCCCCACAAATTTTCCAGAAGATTCATACCAGTCAAAATCATCAAGAACAACAGATTCAGCAAAACCTAGAAAAAATGGAAACAAAAAAAATCTTCATGCTGCCTACTAAAAATCATATCATATGCACACCTTTTCTTCATACTGCAGCATACTCTCGGACTCATAATTGTTCTTAGACTTCTGGCCTCTTATTATTGCCTACAATATCTTGCAATGTTTTTGCTTATTTGTACTGTGCTGTATTCTGTAATACAGTAGTAGGATGTAGTAGGAATACAGCAATAGGAATAATTGTAGTAATATAGCTACATATTTAATTATTTACTGGGCTACATAATTAACACTTAATTGCACATTTTAATATACCATAATCTATTTCACAATTGTACAGAGATCACGGATGCCACTAAAAACTCAAAATATTTATAGCCCAAATTAACACCAAAGACAGTTTTACTTATTCTGCCATAGTGGTGTCTGTGTATTAATTTTTTTTTTCCAAGAAAACTTAAATGCAGATTTAATGCATTAATAAAAATTTGCAAATCTGATACAAATTAAGGATTTCCTAAACATTTATTACTATAAAAAGCAATGGTAATTGTATTACATGTGATTGTTGTTGTCCAAGATTTTTTTAGCCAAAGATAAATCCTTTCTTTTTCTGCTGTGGTCAGTTCCATCTGATTTAGTGACATCCCACTTGCTGGATTCTCTGAAACTTGGAGGCAGGATTTTTTGCCAGCTGATGAAAAAGATCAAAGGAACTGTGTCACTTGTTTATCTGCACAAAGGAAGATTCATACTAATGAATTTCTAAAAATATGGAAGCAGTTCAGATCCTACCTAAAAAGGAGTTCTCTTGTTCACAGTCTACAAGTACATCATCTTCATAGTGAATGGTTCTCATTGAGGAAGGTCCACTCTCATAACCCTGATAACTATCAGAAAAATCAATTTGAAGATAATGACAATCTTATCCAAATTTCAACATTCAGGCTAAAAGCTATATATACACAAAATGAACAAAACCAAATTATAACCACTTATAATACCTTGCGCATCCTGAGTGCCTTCCTATACGGAGATGTTGTAGACTGGATCTTCTTTTTTGTTGCTTGCCTCTAATGATATAAAAATATCATTAGGCAAAAGAATGAAGCCTAAGTGCAAAGTTTTAATTGTAAACACTGTAAAAATGGTAAATAAGTTGTAAAGATAATCATACATATTTAAAGTTCAAAAGGTATTACTTTCTCTTTATACATCACAAATGCGCCATTGATAACTCACATATAACTGACAGAAGGCTGTGCTTCTCTGAAGTGGTGTGCTTGATCACTTGGAATGGAAGACAGCATTTCTTCATTAGCACCCTGTGCTTCAACAGAGACATGCTCTTCACTCACAGGACAAAACTCAGGTATAGACACACAGTTCAGTTTGAGTTCAGAAGCTGGGAAATCTCTAAGAGGAGAGACACCATCCTGGTGATAATCAGCAAGTGGTAGGAAACCACCCAGCATCTCTTGTGTGTTCGGCACTGGTTGGCATTGTGTGTGGCCCTTGGAATGTTGGTGTACCTGAAATGATTTTGGAGCTGCAGATGATATCTGATCTGTTTGAGAAGGAGAGAAATAAGTTTTTTTGGACTTCTGCTTACAGAGTATCTTATTTTTCTTTTCAGATGCTGCTCTTGGAACTGTGGATTCCTTTGTTCTTGGTGTTAATCTCTGCGGGACATTAAGAGGAGTACAGATGGCATCAAAAGAAGCTAAAGAGGCTCTTAAGTTCCTGGGGCCATTAAGGTAGTCCGCTATGATTGGTTGTTTAATTTTTGAATGTTTAGGTTTTAAGTTTGCTGCAGTGGGTCCGGAAACAGTATCTGAAAGAGTGTTGCAATCCTTCCTCTCTTCCCCTGAACAAACTTTCTTTAAGTTGACATTGTTTGCTCTCCTTTCCATGCATTTATTTACACTACTTCGTTTAAGTATGGACGCCTGTTTTCGGCTTGGTTTAGCTGCACTTGAACCAGGCTGACCAGGGTCTTTTGGTTCCCACCAGTTGCCAGGAGGCTTTCTCTGACGTTTTTGGTGCACTGGGCTAGAAAAATACCCTCCTTTAGGTCTCTCTAGCTGTTTCTGAATTGTCGAAAGAGTCTTCAATATATGCCGTTCAGGCAGGCTGTGCTCTTCCGAGGGATCTTCGGAAATGATAGCGTGTCCTGGAAATGTCCTCTCTACAGCATAAAAAGAAAGAGAAATAAACGGAATATTAAAAAGCAAATTGACTTAAAGACATGAAAACAAACCTTGCATTAGTCAAAACTTTTAAAAGCTGTAATAGATGTCATAATACAGAAAAGTCAGTAACACAGGTTTTATTTTTCTTAGTTTTGGCCAATGTAATACTAACTTAGAAGACTTCCATTTATTTGTGGGTAAACTATGCCCTCTAGAGTTTTTTTATCATTATAACCCGCTGACCAGTTAATACTTTATACATTACTTCTTTATACTTCAATAAGTAAAAAGAAACACATTTGAAAACTGTACTTCTTTATCTTTTAGTTTTGTGTAAACACCACAATAAACAGCAATGGCATCACTTTAGAATATCAAATGAAAAGCAGAGGCTATTTGAAGCTCATGTACACATTTTGTATTTCCATATAACTGGGAGTACCTGGAAATTATAGCAGATTAGGGACTACTGCTCTGTTTTCCACCCCACACCTTCTAGCCCTGAGTGTCGGTATGTAGTTATTATCTGTGTATGTGTTTTTGCTTTGGTGATGTACAGTGGGTATAGAAAGTCACTACCCCCTTTCAAAATGTGTAGCTTTTGTTGTATGATACTCAGAAAATAAAAACAAATTAAATTAGGCGTGTTACATTTTTATTTACACACAGTAACCCACATTCGCCAAATGAAAATAAAATTCAACAACAATCTGAAAATTAATATTACAAAAGTAAAATACCTTATTTGGATAAGTGAAAACCTCCTTTACAATTGCATTTGTAAACTTGCTCAGGTATAACCAATCACCTTACAGATCACACAACAAACTAATTGGCTCCCACCTGTGGTCAACTGTGGTGATTATGATTAGTTCAGAATAAAAACAGCTGTTTCCAGAGGATTCCACTACTTGGAAGTGCATGTTAAAGCAAATAATCCACTATGGGTGGAAAGGTGCTTTCAAAAGAACCTTGAGATAAAGTTGTGAAAAGGGCAAAAGTCAGGAGATAGGTATAAAAGATTTGAAAGGCTTTAAGTATCCCATGGAGCACTGTCAAGACCATCATCAAGAAGTGGAAGGCGTATGGCACTCCAAACTGAACGACCGAGCAAGAAAGAGACAGGTCAGAGAGGCTACCAAAAGGCCAATGGCAATTTTTAAGGAGCTACACGCCTTTATGACAAAGACTGGTAATGGTGTGCATATGACAATATCACAAGTGCTCCACAGATCTGGCCTGTATGGGAGGGTGGCAAGAAAAAAGCCACCCCTTAAGAAAAGCCACATCAAGTCTCTTTTATGTTTTGCTAAAAAGCACCTTAAGGATTGTGGCCAAGTGAGACCAAAATCAAACTTTTTGGTCAGAATGCAAACAGTATGTCTGGCGAAAACCCAATACATCTTACCATGCAAAGAACACCATTCCTACAGTAAAGCATGGTGGTGGCAGAATCCTGTTGTGGGGGTGTTTCTCTTCAACCGGGATGGGGGCACTTGTCAAGATAGAAGGGAAGATGGATGGTGCAAAATACAGGCAAATGCTTGAAGAAACCCTGCAGCCCTCAGCCAGGAAGTTGAAAATGGGAAGATAGTTCACCTTTCAACATGACAATGACCCCAAGCAGACCGCCAAAGCAACCGTACAGTGGCTGAAGGACAGGAAGGTGAATGTCCTTGAGTGGCCTAGTCAGAGCCCCGACCTAAATCCCATCAACAAATCTTTGGAATGACCTGAAGAGGGCAGTCCATCAATGGTCACCACACAGCTGGACTGAACTTGAACAATTCTGTAAGGAGGAATGGGCAAATATTCCTCTCTTCTAGGTGTGCAAAGTTAGTATAGATGCATCCAAACAGACTCAAGGCTGTAATTCAAGCAAAAGGTGCTTCTACCAAGTATTAACTCAGGGGGGTATTCTCTTATCCAACCCAGTTATTCTTTTTTATTTATTTTTTCTTTCTTTAACTTGGATGTTGCAAGGTATAATTTGTAAATAAAACTGGAAAAAGTGGTGACTTTCTATACCCACTTTTAAATATTTTAGCAAATTAATTATTTAACATTTGCTAAGAAAAGGTTTTCTTAGAAGAAACACTCCTGCTGCATCACTAGAGCCCATCCCAAGACTTTTCAGTGAAACAATTCACAACTCCATATCATATTCATTTAAGTTCTTTGTTGATAAGCACTTGCACGATACACTGGTTATAAACTCAATCAGATCAGTGTAGAAACAGTGAACCAAGAGGCTACACCTACTGTATGCTACAAAACGTATTTAAGTTATTTACAATGATCCACCGTTTGATTTAAGCTTTCACTACCTGGTGTAGAAGCTAGCTCCTTGGTTCTTGAAGATAATGGTGGTGATGTGGAAGAAAGTGCTTCTTCTTCATTTACAGAATTAGTTTGCTCTTCACAGATTTCCATGGCTAAAGATGCCGCGGCTTTGTAATTGCTTCTGGTCTTTGAAAGCTTTGACTGTGTCTTTCTTGGCTGTTTAGGCTTTGCTTTTTTGCCCTTCCTGGTGTTAACCTTTAACTGCTGTGCATCACTAATTATTTTTTTCCCAAGCGGAGCCTTGGACAGGTTAGGGCAAGAAGAATGGAGGGGGCTAATAGAATGATCTTCTTCATTAATGTAAGCATCTGAGATTTCCTGTCCATCTCCTTCATGCTGTACTCTCACATGCATTTTCAACTCATGGTCACTTGGTTTTAAAATATCTGAAATTGGTTCTGTATTAGTCTTTTTCCTTTGTCTGGTTGTCTTTTTTGCTTTAGCTTCTGTGGAATTCGAAACTTTGTGCCTTGTATTTCTGGTATGTTGTTTCTTCATCACTGTCTGTGCCTCTGATGCTTGCAAAACTTCAGTCTGCTTTGATTTATGCTTTTTTAATGTGGCTTCTTTCACTCCATTTCTGTTCAAATTCACATTAATGCTTTCTTCCTGACCCATAAGCCACCATGGCTGTGGAGGTTTGCATTGGCGTTTCTCGTGAGCTGGCTTTAAATGGATTTGCTCAGGACTTGTGAGAACACCTATCAATGCTTTCTTTTCAGTCTTGATGTTTTTCTTTAACAATTCTTCTTGAGTTACTTTTGCAGATCTGCACATCCCTTTGGAGTCTTTACTTTTCTGTTTAACTGTATGAAAGAAGAAAAGATGTTAGTCTAAGCCCAAAAAGTCTAAGCCACAGACATCTACTATAATTATATTTTCTAATATATTCTATATATTATATTTTCTATAATTCTAAATATATAAATTATCAAAATGTGTAGGATGTGGTCCAAAAATTCACACCTGAGGATAGTCAAAGCCTAGCACTTCAAATGCAGATTGAGTTTTAATAGTCTATTATTTTTTCTAGAGTATAAATGATAAGATTTTCTAACCCTGTGCTTTCTAAAACAGGAGTAAAAATGCCTGAGACTTTCACCTCTCAGCCTGTGTGTACATCCCTTCTTCGCTATGCAGCAAAAATGCTGGTATTGATGGGTTACAGATATGTGGCCACTGACAAGACAATACAAAAATTTATCACTACAGTAAAGTCAGTATGAGTATGGGAGTTTAAACGCCTTGAGAAAGAGGGAGGTGACATTTTAGGTTTCAAAAACACCTAATAATGTCAATGTCTGACTAATTTTATAGTGACTGTTTTCTACTGGTGTCAGTAGCATTTCTGTAACAGGATGCAATTTATAGGGCTTGGTCTTTTATTTCTACCACAACACTATAATATATGTGAGGCTCTAGGTTTCACATTGTGCCACTTTTACTTTAACAGTCAAATCAATCACTCTGCCTAACTCAGCCTGCCCACTGCTCCCGCCTTCTCAACTCTCCCGGCTTTTGTTCTCCTATGCTATATCAGCTGCTGACTTCCCTGTCTTTCTCACACCTGAAGAAGGCTTCACAGCCGAAACGTTGTTTCTTTTTTCTCTTTTCATTTTTGAATAAACCTTTACTTGTTCCTTTGCAGCCTACACATGCTGATGCAGCTACCTACTGGAAGTAGATCAATCAGATGGGTGAACATACTTTAGAGATAAAAAAAACATTTTAAGATTTCTCACTGAAATAGTCATCTCTTCCAGCTGGTAGAGGCATTTAATACTTCCAATACAGCTAGTTGGCACTGTAGTTTTGATCAATACCTATCAGAAAGTGGTCTAATTTCAAAAAGTGCATTTGTACACTTATGTTCTTTTTTAAGATTTCCGGAAGTAGGTAAAGCTCAATTATTTCATATTACGGATATGAAATTTCATTTCATAATAGACTGATCTGAGCATTTAAGGCATAGTAAAAGAAAAAAACATACCAAATTAATTAATAATCCATTAAAAACTAAACAAATTAAGTTATTTTTCAGATAGGCTACTGGAATCTAAATGAGATTTCCATGATTGATCATTAAATGGTAAATGTTTTAGGGGTGTTTAATTGATTAATCCTGCAAGTGTATCTTGATAAAAATGTTGATAGATTCAAACTAAACTTAACAATGGCTCCTGAAATGTTCAGTGTCTTAAAAAAAACTGAAAATTCATAAATACTAAATGTTAAACAGTTATAACTGCGAAACTGTATAAACTACTGGTTTGTAAAGATCAGGTTATGCACTGAATCGATGAGGATTCTTTTTTAAACTGCTGAGTCTCTTGCAGGGTATGGTTCTTTGGAGTGTTGTATGATGTCATGCAGCTATTTCAACAGAGACCAATTCAGATTCACCACAGTCCAGCACAACTTTGAGAAGTAGGTACAAATGTGATCTTATAATAAATTAATGTTTTAGGCCAATATGGTACTAACATCTGCAAACACTTAAGTCTGTCTTAAAAATGAACTTAATGTTTTCATTGATTGCCGTCATATGCTACTCTGTTCTACAGTAAGGTTTGGAAGGGCAACAATCCTGTTCTATGAGTACAAGGCCATTACCTTGTTCATGACTTCATGTGCCTCTTAGTGTTTCCTTCTCTCCTTACTGGATAAAAGTACTTTCATATAGGTCTTAGGATACAAGGAACATAAGCGAACAACATTCTCCAAGATTAGAAATGTATTTTATAACAAGAGTAACACAATGTTTTACTATTTCTGTAACTAGGAGCACTTGAATACAATATGTAAAACCTTGTTTTCTCCCCTTTATCAACACCTAAAGGGGAGCTTGCATAAATTGCACAAAGCCCACTAGAGGACCATATTAAACAAATTTTATTACATAAAGACCTTTTTAACAGACACTACACTGAAAGATTAATTATACGTCTAGATGAATAAAACCTACATTTGGGATAATAAATTATGCTACTGGTTATCAATCTAAAACTATCTAAACCATTAATAGCCAAAAGGATATTAATTGAATTAAGCATTATATAATGAAATAAAATCCTGAATACAAAAAATTGTATATGCACTGACAATAAAAACTCAGCCTTAGACAGCTTAATTTAGATTTTTTAATAATGAATTAAATCCTAAAATACTAGTTAGAAATTTTTGTAAGAACTTCTGTTGGCTTTGTTAAAAAAGTCAGCAGACCTGAAACACTCTGAAAGTGATTAGCAACACTAGTCAGTTGCCATCGTCTGCTGCAAAAGAAAATGATTTTTTAATTGCTATTTCTTCCATAATATTTGAATAAACATTTTAAAATGTATCTGAACACAAAAATTAGAATAAATGATTGATAATGCATAGTAAAATACTGTTTGGCTTTGTACTGTAAGAAGTTATGAAGAAGGGACAGAATATATCACGGGATGTACAATATTACAATACAACGACTGGGTCTGCATGCAAACAGAACCAACAAACTACTTCTGAGACAGTTACTCTTCATATTGTTTAAACATTAATATATACCTAAAGCCTGTGAATATCTGAAATTAACTTTGCTCCAGCACAAATTTTAAATATGGTACCTGGTTTTATAACTGCATCCTCCGTCTCCGAAGAGTATGATGGACAGTGGTCATTGAGATCCCCATCTTTGTTTAAACTTTTGTTGGTTTGTGTTTCTGTACCCATTGTGTTTCTACGTGCATCTGTGAATTTTATTTTGGCTTTTACTGGCACTGGGGCTTCAGTGCTTAATTTCCTCTTTTTAGCTTCCTTTGCTTTTGGTGCCGTCTTTATTTTGTCCTGAACTTGGGCATCTTCATCAAAATAATCATTTTCTTGTTTTTTTGAACTGCTGTCCTTGATGCGTTTCTTCCGGCTTTGTGTACGTTGGGCTTCTTTCTTTTTATTTTGAACCACATCTGCATCCACGTGAGTATTTTCCTTAACAAAATTATTTGTTTGGTTTTTTTTACTGTTCTCCTTAGTCTTTTTTTTCTGACTTTGTTTACCTCGGTCTTCCTTCCTTTTATTTTCACCCGCAGTTATATCTACTATGTTATGTTCATTTTTTGGAGATTTTGCACTGGTCTTTGACGGTTCGGCTTCCTTTGCCGTTTTCTTCTTGACATTCTCATTTATATCATGCTGAGGCTGATTACTTGAAGTACATTTCTTCTTTGGGATGGAAATCCAATTCTCCCATTTAAAATTTTCTTCTTCCAGAATCATAAAATCCTCATCCAGTTCAGGCAAGGGGGGATCTTTCATAGGGGATTCCTTCTTCTTGGTCCTGTGAAAAAGGACAAAGTTATTCACTTCACATTTCTGCCAGACAAGAATAATATGCAGAGATTATATAAACCCGATTTATAAGCCAGGAGATATTGCCACTTAGCTTCCTAGTCAAATAAACTTGTAATTTCCAAATGAGATCAATATTTCATGCAGCGATTACAAACTCCTATAAAAACAAAACCAATTTATCATCAACCGTAAATATGCAATTTGTAATGCAATTTCCCATTCCCAAAATGTAAATGTTTTTCTACATATAATCTTACCTCAAAAGTTCAGAACGTCCACGGTTTTTCAACTTCTGAAGGAATGAAGATGTCTCATTTGCCTTTTTTGGTATACTGGTTGTTGCAATGGGGGAATTTTTAGGTTGCTTTTCCACATCCAAAAGAGACTTTTTCCATTTCTCGTGAGGCAGTGCATCTGTGATCTTCAGTTCTTTGGGTGATGGTGAGGGATTTAACAATGCACACTCATCATCTGAACTGAAACAAAAATGTTTAAAACGTGTTAAAACCTTCACCTACCAAGAGCTGATCAGAAGAGGTGCACAGACAGTTTAGGACAATGTAAGGCAAGGCGCAGGTTCGGACGAGTGCGGAAGAGTTCCTAAACCAGATCAGTTATGTGACAATTTTAACTTGCATTTTCAAATGTCCTTATTTGACAGAATTCTTCTGTGGAAGAAATCTAATATTCCCATGCCAGAAACTGCCAGGCTAACAACCACCATCTCACAGAAACTCTCAAAGAATTTAAATTTAAACCATAACTTGATAAAATGGGTCCAAGACTTCTTAAGCTAAAGGTCTCAACAGGTATGACATTCACTACACTTCCAATGGATCACAAAAGGGCTGTGTTTTGTCCCTCCTCCTGCACATTTTGTACACTAATAAGTGTTAGACCAAACATAGACAGCTCAATAAGTTTGCTAATGACACAGCCCTGGTTAGGTTATTGGATACCCAGAAAACCATGCACCCATTCTAAATAATTTTAATAGATGGTGTAATGAGTTATTTGAAGTTAAATTTCTTGAAAAGAAATTAACATTTTAGGAAAAATGCAACACACCTTGAACCTACTGTACTTGGGAAAGGATTAATTGACACAGACCTAAGAGTTGACAAATGCTGTGACACCATTTATAAAAAAGGCCAAAATAGACCCCTTTTTTCTTAGGAAACAGCTATTTCAAGTTATATAGAACTATTTCTACACCTATACATAATAATAAGTTATGTATTAAATTTTTTTTAACATACTGTATCACTTGTTGGTTTGGCAATATCAGATTTATTAATTATAACAGGTTGGGAAAATTAGGTTAAGTAAACAATAAAATCATGGTAAAACAGAAAAGAAAGCTACTTTTTATTTTCTAATACTTGAGTGCCGATAAGAGATGATACTTCTGTGCTTTTATTTGTTTTCTTGAAAGTAAACTTTTACTTTTAATGAATTACTTATTTTTGAAAGTAACAGTACTTTTACTCAAGTAACAATTGAGTACTTTTTACACCCCCGATTCTTGAATTCTTTACCACACCTATGCAAAATCCCATACTCACCTTGTCATCTTCTTAGGTTCTTCATCTGAAGAATGAGTCTCATGTGATGGCACACACAAAGGATTCTCTGCTTTCTTTTTAGCCAGCGATTCAAATTCATCATTGTTGGAACTAAAACTAAAGGAAAATTTCTAAAAAAATCAAACATTTTTCCAAAACATCCGACAGGATCTATTGAAGTATCAGTAATCATACGTGGATTCAACAATAAAAAGGGGCAGATTTGTTATTTACAATTTCTATATGTAAGCTTTAGAAACTTTATCTTAATTAAAAAGTAGTTTGTAAAACCTTAAGATTTGTTAAAATTTACCTTTCTATACACTCCCATAGCTATTAAATAGTACAATTTTCATTTGTGAGAATGTACTGCTACTATAAATTTTGAATCCTTGGCACGTGTTATTTTAATTAAGATTATAACAAAATCGAATGACTTTTTTTTTTACCTTTTCTGAGCATTTTCTTCTTCTGGTAATTTCCGACAACACATGGACATCCCTTCTGCTTCTGTGGTTGATGGAATTTTTTCTAGAGTACCAACCTCAATCTCAATAACTGCGGAGATGTCACTTTCTCTACTTAAGTCAGTTTCACAGGCAACTTGACTTGAACTCTCCATTTGCAAAGAGCCTTGGCCTTTTAACGGACTTGCTGTTAATTAAAAGAAATAATGAAAAAAGTGTCTGAGATGTTAATAGAGTATTTTAGTACTCAAGGTGCAAAGTGGTCAGAGATGGCAGCAATTTGTTTTGCACAATATCTCCCCCCTTCCTCAATTCTTGCATGTGTCATCACTGTAAATAAGGGTCATTTATAAAGCCACATTGCTTGAAAGATTTTCCTTCCTTTCCCAGTACAGTATTTTCAAGTCATCTAGTGATGTTATAAGTATTGAGAAATGGAAGTACGCTAAATTAAGCTACATTTACACCACTTAAAGCAGGATGATACATACTAACAATTTTCACGATGCTCTCAAGTTTTCATTTTTTTAAAAATAACTTCTACCTCTGTTCTGTGATGTCTTCTGTACCACTGCCGAGTCTTCATGCGATACCTGTAATTGAAAAAATTAAAAACAGTTATGTCCTTAACTTACAATTTAAGGACATAACTGTTTCAATTATAAAATCAATATTATATACAGAGGACTAAAATATAATTTGGTATTCAGCTTTGAAGATGCTTAATTTTTATTTTACTTCTCTGCCACTATTTTAAGTGTAAGCAAATTCAAGCAAAATGAAAAGAAAAGGGCTCCACAGCTGAAATGTTTAATCATGTGTTTCTAATTTTCAGTGTGGAATTATTCAATCGTAAGCTTACATTATTTTAAAAATACAGTTTCACATCTGTTATTCACAAGAAACAGAATATCCATAGTCCCATCTATGTTTATTAAGACAGGAGGCAAGAAACTATACTTGAATGTTTTTTTTCATCTTGAGTTTCCTGTGCAACAGCATCTGTACTATGTGTCCACATGCTGAACTATTGCAGGGACTAGTACTGAAAAAATCATAGTGTTGTTTCTGTACATCTCTGGCTCTATAGTCACACAGCTCTCACTGTGCTTTTCTTGAAAATGTACTGATTTTACACGGACAAGTTCTGTCTCATATTTTTCCCCTTTCATTAATTGCACATAGTTATTCTTGGCATTCAGTCACAGACAAAAAAAAGGGCATCCTTCACAATTCCCACCGGGTAAACAGCTTAATGTACAAGCTGTTCCAATTTTATTTGTTTTTTTATTTAGTCTACTTTTTTTTCATTAGTCTGATAAAACATACACAGCTGTGCAACTGGCTTTAATTAAAAAACGGTTTATTGACAAAAAAACTAAATACAAAGGAAGTTTAAAGTATAGCATGCCCCAGCATGTTTTGTGTATTCTAAAAACTATATTTGGTTTTGTTGATTAAACTGATGGATAGAGTGTAGAACATAAGTGTAATTTAAATAATGAATGTGAAAAAGGAGCAGCATGAACTAAAAAGGTTAATAAAACACACACTACAGTGAACAGCAGACAACCACATAAATGAGCCTAAACTGGATCCAAACACAAACTGTACTAACTCAAGTTAGAAGATTTCACTGGTGCCTAGAACAATAACAGTAGAACAATAATATTTATAATGAATGATAGTGTGATCACCACTACAAGTAATTATGTCAATGCCAGTATGAGCTGCTGTACATAAGGACATAAGAAAAGGTTACAAATGAGAGGATGCCATTCAGCATATTTAGACCATTTGGTAAGAGTTAATATATATATATAAGGATCTTATTCAGCTAATTCTTGAAAAAAAGTCATAGCCCTTTCTATACTCTCAACCTTAAACTCTGTAGTCTGTTAGTCAGTACAAGACACAAACAATGTATATTTGCATATAATACCCTACACCACATAACACAGCCAAAAATAAAACTAACTGCAGTAAGATAGTGTTGAATGTTACAGCAAATGTTAATATTAAAACATTTTTTTTCATATGACTGTCATTAATGTTCGCATTTGTTACATGAACAAATGTTTGGGCACAACCAGACATTTAGATGGCCCCTTGAGTCTTTGGACACAGGTATAATATTGTAAGCAAAACTTAAATTAACATATATTTTACATAAAGCTAATAGTAATTTTCCTGCTGCTAAATTGAACAATTAAGTAAATATCCATACAGAAAAGGGATGCTAAATGCAAAAATGAAAAAAAGTTCAGCTGTGAAGCTTTCTTCAGGTGTTAAATATTGATAGTTCTATCCACTAACACTTTCATGTAGTTGTTCAATATTAACTTGATTGACTAAAAAGAAACCTTCCTGAAAAATCTGTCAATGGAAAACACCACCCTTTCTAATTATATTTCTGCACTCTTTTCTCCAAATTATTTTCTTTCTGGTTGAACATTGATACTCCATTATCCTGGTTTATACTTGAAGAAAGTCTGTTCTTACAATATACATTTCAAGTTTTCAATCATATGATGTACACTGGGGTATCCCTTAGATATTTTAAATTTGACTTGCTTGCTCTATGTTTCACAACTAAACACCTTTGGAAAATTATTTTGTTCACAAAAAGCACACCAAAGATGTGAACCATACCGGAATCTGATATTGTGATTCTGATTTTTGTTGACTCAGTAGGATCAATTTCTTGTCTAAACATCTGGGTGTAGAAGAACTCTTAGGGACTGGAGATGGCATATTCATATCACAGAATGAAAGAGGTGAAGAATCTGTAAAAAACAAGATACATTAGACTTGCAAACTTTTGTAATTCTACATACAATATGATTAAAAAAACATTAGCAACACAATTGTTTTTTGTTACATAACCAAGTACTGGGTAAGCCCAATAATGAAAAGCAGGGAAGGGTATTCCTTTAGTTAAGTTACAGAAATTGAGATGTATTTCCTGCTTACATTGAATTCCAAAATTCAAAACCACTTGCATTCTTTGTTTTTTTAAATGAATACAGGAGGCACTTTTATCAAAAGCACATATACATTTCAAAAGGGGTGACTGCTAAATATATTATTCCCAACAATGCTGCTAGAGATATTTAGCCAGGACCCCATATCAGTACAGTCTCCTAGGAGGTGAGGTGGAATGATATTAACCAAGATTAGACAGGCTCTTAGTGAAAGCAGCATGCCTCCACTAATGCAGACTCCATTATTATATTGGTGTAAACAATGCTGACATTCCTAATTTCAAAAAAACCTTGGAAACAAACAGAAGAGACTACTAATTGTCTAAATGATCCTGCTTGCACAACCCAAAGAAGAATCTAAATGTTCACTATCAACAACTCAATACAACACTTGCATGATTGCATATAATAATCATTACTATTATTCTTATTTCTAACACTTATATAGCACCTTTTCTGGACACTTTACAGGTAATGTGCAGCATTACTCTCATCACTCTGTTCTCCACCACCACCAATGTGCAACACCCACCTGGATGATGCGACAGCAGTCATAGTGCGCCAGTACGCTCACCTATTGCTGGGCAATAATTCGATAATGATAATTATCGTGATATAATTTTAACAAAAGTTAGATAATGTTCGATATATATGTTTATGCTTTGTGCATGATATACGCAAGCGCACAAAATACTGCGCGAGTGCGCGTGCGTGTTGCAGACCGGGCAGCTAACATGGTGGTGTTTACCCACACGGTGGTGGCTGACAGGATTGTAGTTAAAGTGGGGAAATGAGCGACACCGAAGCAAATGTAGTGCTGCCAACGACCAGCTCGAAGGACGATGACATCGTCGACAGAAAAGGTCATTCAACTTCGGTAATTTGGAGATATTTTGACTTTTTACAATCAGACATAAAACAGAGCACTTTAAACTTTGCAGTCTGTCTGAGCCATCTTCTATGTGTGTTTTATCACACTGCAGTATTTCATTTTTCTATTAAGATTTATTTTGTAAATTTTACTTCTGCATATTGTGACATAAAAAAAACTTGAATACTCTCTGCCTCAGATTTGTTTAATGTTTCTGCTGTTTGGCAAGTGTTTGTTGTGTTCTTAAAATAAAGAGTTGTTTCATTTACCAATTAACTGTCTGGTTTCTTCAACTTTCACTCAGGAGAAAAAATCTGCCTTTAAACTTGAAAGAAATAATGATTTGACATTTATTGTGATAATTATCGATATCGACTGATATGAAATTTTTTTATCGTGATAATGCTTTTTTCCATATTGCCCAGCCCTACGCTCACCACACATCAGTTATCAATGGGGAGGAGAATGAAGCTAATTCATAGATAGGGATTATTAGGAGGCCATGATTGGTAAAGGCCAATGGGAAATTTGGCCAGGGTGCCGGGGTTACACCCTTACTCTTTGCAAAAAATGCGCTGGGATTTTTAATGACAAAAGAGTCAGGATGGCACCTTTTTACAGTATAGTGTTCCCGTCCCTATACTGGGGGGGCTTTAGGACCCACACAAACCACAGGATGAGCGCCCTCTACTGACCCAACTAACACCACTTGCAGCAGCAACCTTAGTTTTCCCCAGGTCTCCCATCCAAGTACTGGCCAGGCTCACACCTGCTTTGCTTCAGTGGGTTGTGAGCTATACGGTGATATGGCTGCTGGCACAGTGTGCTTAAATAACAGTCCCAATATCTGACTGGTTATTAAATTGCAAAATTTTACAAATTCCAAATTAACTTTGTGAACTTTGAGAAAGTACTGTATGCTCGCCACACGTTCGCAAACCACAGGTCTTACCACGGGAAAGAGCAAGAGTTCATGCAAATTGTGACCAAAAAAACAGCTCACCTGCTCACTTATCAATAGATTTACATTGAATAATCTGCATGAGACTAATTTATTCCTATATGTTCCTTGCAATTTACCGTACAATTTCTGATTTCTGTTATATTAAATTAAAACCTTACAACACCTACATTACAAACTGCTAATTTGTCACTTTTACTGTAAAAAAAGCAAAAAAAATCCCAATCACAAAATGTCAAAAACCCAAAGTGAAGCGGCAATGAAAACTCAACATTCCTGGAGGGAAATCCAAATAGAAAAGAAAGAAGAGTGAATGGGTCCTGATGCTGAATTCGAATTAGGCGCTAAACTAGATAACAACAATGACGATGATTATAGAATTTTTATTCTTCTTTTAATATTTTTTCCCTAATTTTCCGCTTAATTTCAGAAGGCTAAGAAAACCATGTCAGGACCTAGCTTTACAAAACCTATTTCAGAGTTTTTTTGTTTCTTTGTTCTGTCAGTCTCAACTTTTTATCTAAACTAGTAGACATTTTGGCCATCCCCGGAAAGCATTCGGGGTTCATACGCGTGCTACAACTTGAAAAACTGAATTGACATATAAAATTGATATTTCAGACTTCTTGGAAGTCCCAATCATGCCACTTGCATTATTTTTGATAGTAGCTTAACTTTCCATCTTTGGGATTGTCCATGCAGCAGTTGTTTTGTCCACTAAGGTAACCACAGTCACAATGGACTTATGAACTCCTGGATCTGCAATAATGCCTTCTGCAATTGGTATTCACATTGACATACTGTGCAGTGAAAATCAGCAATAACCATAAGTGGCACATTAAGTTCCAGATAGCAGTCTCAAAGCTCAATCGGCATACAAAATCACCTTCAACAAGCATGTGCGTGCACTCTAATATCATGCTGTACATCTCTAATAGTACAGTCTGACCTAAAAATTTTGAGGTGGGCAGCGTTTAATGTGGTTCCATATAGTCAATGATACACCGGAGACCAGCATCTTTTTTATAATTGAAACGACTGATCATTCAGAGCCATTATATAATAAGTAATTTCTTCAGCCCTGACATCTTCAAATTTCTGTGATCGTTTCAGTGCTTTGTGTCATAATTGCATTCCACTTTTTCAATGATCAGAAAGAGCGACACACCAAGAAAATGAAAGTATAATGAATTGGAAGCAGGAGTACAAAGCCTATAATGGAGAATTTCTAATGACCAAATGCATAAAGCTAATACATTACACAAATAATTCACTCAAGTGTTGCCAAGGAAGAATCTGAAAACATGCCTCACACTGAGCATGGAAAACTCTGTTTAATAATATTAACACTGAAGAGACAGAAGGGTTCTGAGACTGATAAGATTCCATAAATTGAACAGGACCCAGTGATATCCTATAAATAGCAGGAAATTAAATACTCATTTACTGCTATCACAACTTTTACAAAAGTTACTCAAGACAGTTTATACCCATCAACAAAAAAATACTAATATAACTCTTATCCACAGATAGGGCTGCAAATCAATATCAGATAGTTACAGACCAGTAGATCTTACTTATAATACAAATTCAGTTATGGAAATCATAATTAGAACTATACTCAAGAATCACCTTTAGGAGAACAGGATTCTAGGGGATAAAAAAGAGAGGCGTTGCTTAACAAATATGTTAGAGTTGTTGTGAGAAAGCAACTGCAGGAATGGATGTCAACAAAACATACAATGCAGCTTAATTTTCCATAAAGTTAAACTGTACATTGTTTAAAAATAGTTACAATTAGCATTCCCTAGTAATTGATGCTCGACGCCATCAAAACAGACACTGGCTTAGGCACAGAACAGCTGAAAGAGAAATTCCAAGACCAGAAAGCGTGGCGAGAGATGGCCTATAGAATCGCCGAGAGTCGGATCCTACTGACCGGATAACATCATCATCAGTGATTATCTAAATGAATACATTTTCAGTTATGAACTGTTATGATTCGTTCACTATATATTTAGGTGTAAAATGTTTTAGACCATTTTGATACTGTCCAAAGGAGGAGGGGCTTCCAGTATAAAGGAGCCCACCAGCCCACTCAGTGGTAGAATAATGTTTGTCATGTGGTAGAGGTAGCTTCGTCTGTGTAATTCATTGATTGTTTGCCCGTTTTTCTTATTGTATATAGCTCTGTTATACTGCATGAATGGGCAAGCCACAAAAGCTTCAACCAGGTGGTGAATAATAGATTATGATGACATTGCAGGGATAACTTTAAAATTATTAAGTGTCCTCAGCTATGCCACAGATTATGCTAGTGTTCAGATCTGAAAGTGCTGAAATTGTCGTATTGGTGTCATTGGATTTTTAAAACTGGACAGAGTAAAGTTTTGTTGCTTTTAATGCATTTTACATATACAAAAACTGTATATGATTAAATAGTTTTTAATTTAAAAAATGTAAAAGTCTGCAATGAAATTGAAAAAAATAAGGACATAAGTGCAGTACATATGGTAAGTTATTATAATTTAGATGAAACTGATAATTAAAAAGCTGTATTTAGTTTTGAATGCTAAAATTCAACACATTCAATTAATACAGATCAAATATCATGCATGATAAGTACAACATATTATACCAAAATGTTCACTGAAATACAAGAACAGAATATATGTTAAATAACGTTAAAAGGTAAACTATTAAGTTGAGCTACCTGCTACCAATTCCCTATGGAATAATACACTTCCTCAAAATATCATTAATGATTGCATTTGTACATCTTCAATACTTTTTTCCATCTGCACTCACATTTTAACTGAACAGTAAAAAGATTCCAACCATTTTATTACCTGAATCTTCAAAAACATCATCTAGGACGTGCATATCTCCTCCTCCTTTCTGTATTGTTTCAAATCTGACAGAATAAAGATGAAACTGTCTTACATAAACTGCCAACTTAATGACAAACTGCTTTTAATCAACATCTCATATCTGGAAAAAAAATAATCTGACTGCAGTAAAATCATGATCAAATCAGACAATTGAAAAGTTTACGCTTGACACATCTCAATTATCAAGTTACTGTGTTGAGCAATGTCTTTGCTCTGTAGCAGAAAAGAAAAAACTGAAAAACATTTTATTTGTGTCATTTACATTTTATGTTTTTTTCTGAACACCAGACAGCTCAACATTTAACAATAGTAATACAAAAAAACCACCTTTCATTCTTTTGGGGGAAATACCGTAGTTTTGGAGATGCCCTTCCCTGCAATATATAAGGAAAATGAATAATGTTGTTAATACATATAAAAAAATAATATACGGTGTGTTATTGAGAAACGTACAGTATCAGATATTTTAAAAAATATATCTAAAGCAAAAAAACACCTCTAAAGACTCCTTAAAACATTACTTTTAAAACATGATTAGTCTTCTAAAAAGAGGGGATAAACAAGTCTATAACCTAGAGCATTAATACAGAAGTCTTCACAAGTCCATGCTAAAGGTGTGCTAAAAAAACCAATTGAACATGAGTATGGCCCTTGATTTTTGTCAGCATAGGTTGAAAAGAACATTAGAAAGGCAAAGTGAACAAAAGGAATATTGCAATGGAAGATAAATCAATAAAATATTTTTCAGTACTATAACAGCGAAAGAACCATAAAGGATTAAATTAAATGTATCCGAGACAAAGATGGCAAACTCCTAGATAATAAAAATGACATGACTGATGTATTTCACACGGAGATGTGTTTCAGGTTCTGGCACGACCCAAACCATTCTAAAGCTCAATAGTATCTTACCAATCGTAATAAAAAAAAAAACGGATGTTATTCAGAAGGCACTGATGCAACTGTTCCAATGGTAGTCCACACAGTTGTACTCCATTCAGCTAGTTATGTGACTTCTAAAGACAAATGGTTGCACCAGAACCTACTTAGGTGTGTCATAGGAAAAGTGGGTTAATACTTATACAATCAGTTATTTTGTTTTCTTTTTATAATTAATTTATAAAGGAGGATCTGTATAATTTTGATTTCACTTTGACATTAGTGTTTTTTGCTCATCGATGGCACAAAATCCAAAAATATGATGATTTCATATTGTAACACAAATTGTGAAAATGTCCAAGGGGTTGAATATATTTTAGCTGTATCTCGTGGAAGATGAGATTATTTTTATTGCAAGGATTTTATACATATTTTTTCTTTAGAATATTCTTCGGAAAAGACCACAGATACAGAAGACAAAAGCATAAGTGCATTCATTACCATCTAAATAACTTTTTAATTAATCAATCAATTCAATGTTGTGTTGTTCAATTTTTTGAAGGTTTCAAGTTAACCTGACAACCTTACTGCTTAAAGGTGTGCTGTGAGGTGTTTTTCAGGTGTTGCAAAAGCTTTTTTGTTTCAAACTAATCACTTCAAAAAAGGATAGTATTCAGTACAACCAAAAACACAAGGAAAACAACATAACAACACAGAAGTGATGGAGTCTGTTCAGGTGAAACTATGGACTATTTTTGTAATTACCCATGAAAGTAAAGAAAATGGTATGGACAATTATTTTATGTATGTTTAAAACAAATGTACTTCAGATGTATAAGAAATTTTAATGCAGTATGAATTTAAAACAGTTTCAACAAATGGCTAGTTTAAAACTTCAGGTTAATGAGCTAATTACATTAATGCAATACAAGTACAGCAGCAATAAAGTATGAATGTTATACAACGTTCAAAGAAATGAAATGCATAACTTATTTTTATTATTCCCTATAAGAAAATAATGTTTTTTTTTTATCAGTTCCAAGGTTCAGTCTAGACAACAACACAATATAATACCATACAACACAGGCAAATTTGTCTGAAAAATTTAGTGTACATTTTAAAATATATATACATTAACATACATAATTCTTAGACTACAGTCTAGAGCAATAGGCCATTTAATACAGAAATGTCCAATGGTAATCTGACATTCTCTTGTGCTTCTTGGTAAAAACAATTCGTTAGGATGGAAGAATGATCCAAAATCCATCTTTTACATAATGTATTCAATATACAGTTGCCAGAATACATGTCAGTACACTTCACGTAACAAAATACAGGGTGTGAATACTGCTCTCTAAAACACTACAGGCCATAGAAAGAATAACTTGCATATACTTTGCAGAACCGAAAAAAATAAGATGCACACTGCTCAGACATAATATAAAGCTCTAAATCCTAGTTACACCATCAGCAAACACTTCCTTTTAACTAATAGAACACCACCATGATGTGATAAACCCACACAAGATTACTGAACTATAAACAAGGAATGAACGTTTGTTATTCTACAATCAAGCTTATTGTTAAGGAAACCGATTTAACCGCTTCAAATTCATTGATTAACATCAGCCGGACGCTTTTGTTACTGTATGTTTCTGCCAAGTATTCGGGTTGACATTCACCGCAGACACGAAAACATCAGGTAAGGTTACCAGCGACAGGAAGACATTCAGCACCTATAGTGCTTCTGGTTGTTAGCAGATTACCATAAACCCTTTCCCTGAAACAAACGTCTTGACGTTTGAAATCTCATGTCAGTCTGCCACTGCCCAATTGTGAAAATGTCTCCTGTCCGAAGAGACACTTCAAAGTGCATGTCAAATAAACGCAACAAAAACTGTTAAAAGAGCTCTAAAACAGGAGTAGGTTCTGTTAATTATTACGGTTTTCCTAAACATACCAGTTCAGTTTCCGGAAAGTGAGGGTTTGATTTTAAAGAGTACTCACCAAGCTTTGAAGTTTGTTGTCCATATTGTAACGTTTGTTTTCCCAGCTCTTCCTACAGGCCACTATTTTTGAGCTAATTATACAACGAAAAAAAAGTCCAAGCGCAGTTAACCGAATAACCAACTCTTATAAAAGTGTCCCTAGACCACATTATATTCGTGAAAAAAAAAATGGCTTCACATTAATACTAATATGATATTTATTTTGTTTTCTTCGGAGATGTTCCGATCCCCAAACTTCCGCGCGCTTTGGCGGACGACCCACAAACAAACATTACGCGCATTGCACCACGGGACGAACCAGCCAATGCCCCCGTAAAACGTCTAAGCTTACCGCATATTTAATTGTAACGTAATTTCCATGTAAAATAGTTTCACTGTGAAATTCGGGCAATGTTTTGAACAAGACGCAATAATATTTGGGGGGTGGCACCAGACTGCAGTAATTTGAGTGTGATCTGTAAAGCTGCCGATGTATTAAGAAGACAAACGTTGCTGAAATGCTCTTACCGTAAATCTTCAAAAACTTAAACTTTTACTTTTATCTTGAATAATTGTTCTTCGTGGGGCTTATGACCGATTTAACTTATAATTTTACGAGAAACTCGCGTTTGATACATGTTTCTCTCTTATTAAAATGGATTGAAAATTAAAGTCAAGCTACATTTTAAAATATTCCCATCCCACCAACATCAGCTTTCCATCTTAAAGACAGGAGAGGCAGATTTAAAAAATGCGCGCATATATTCTTGTATCCGTTTTTGCTTTTGATTAGGACTGTAAGGGAAAAAAAATATTTACTTGCGGCGGTGGGTACAAAATTCATTCAGGGTTCCAACGGTCATGGAAATACTGGAAAAGCTATGGAAAAGGAAATGTCATTTTCCAGACCTGAAAAAGTTTTGAAATTTTATAAAATACACATTAAGTTTTGGAAAAGTCGTGAATTTTTTTTAATTGATCCAAAAGTATCATGCTCTATCATGTAATTTTTTTCGTAAGCTGGCAATTTTTTTAAAGGGGGCTGTGGCGTTACCGTTGCTAACATTACACATTATTGTCGTGTCAAACCCTCTCGCGGGAAGTTTCTAGTGAGCCGTAAAAAGATGAAGACCCAGGACGTGCGAGGCGTACAGTACTGTAAATTATGCGGGAAAACGTTTGACGTGAAGAATATGGGTGAAGCTGCGCTAGCAAGTGACGCAAAGGGTAAAAAACACATTCACAATGATGAGGCTGCAAGAGAAACAATTGGAATCGGCACCTTTTTCAACTCATCTCCAGCTAGCACAGCGAAGCACCGCACGGTCACCTTACGCAGTGAGACAGCCCAGCAGACACAGACATCAGTGTCTAACAATGATGCGCTTTCTGCTGAAGATTTGTGGGCGCTGAAAGTTATTGATTCACATTATTCGTTCAAATCGTGCGCCAGCGTTGGGCAGCTGTCTTTTTCGTGTGGCAATGTTCCGTGGCAGCGAAATCGCAGCTAAATTTTCTTGTGGCGGAACAAAATCCGCATATTTGACAACTGTGGGGATCGCTCCCTATTTTAAATCGCTGCTTGTCAGAGAAGTGTCACGACAAGCAGGATATGGCCTGCATTTTGATGAGATTCTTCATCACGCACTGCAACTCATGCAAATAGATTTACATGTGAGGATTTGTGAAACTACCTGTAGGTACGTAGGCTCGGGAGTTTATGGGGCACGACATTATGGAGAAGATGCACAACACGCTCTCAGAGGGTTGACTAAAAAATCCGTTGAGACTGATCTGATTCTCAAATGACACCTTTCAATACTAATATTGCACGAACTATGTTCAGTTTGTCAAGATGTTGAGGTACTCGAAGTTATTCAGACAGAAAAGAGTTTGTGTTTACACAGTGAAGCATTTCAGGGATGAAAAAAGCCATATATTTTCCTAGCCTATGTGGGTTTAATGATGAGGGATGTCGCTCATGTTCTAGGAGTAAACATGCTGTCCAGGTAAAAGAAAAGTAATGCCATGCAAGAATGTATTTCAAATGAAAGTTTTGTATCGGAAAAAGGTATAGCAACTGTAGACACTTGTATTTATGGTGTGTTGTATTTTGAACACACTTCCTAAGAAATAAATCATAAGTGTGACCTTAGACTCAGATATATTTGTCATTATGTACTGTAGGTTTTAGTCCACATATATGCTTAATGGTATTGAACTGGCCTGCGTATTTTTCCTCTAAACAAGCTCTTGCACACCTGAAGGAACTGATCACCAAACCCTTAATTGAATCAGGTGTGCAAGAGTTGGGTCAGAGGAAAAGTTTGCTGGACAGGGGCCCAAGGAATGAATTAAATACCACTGCTCTAAATCCCACAAATTATTGTAGCAGTTGTAAGGCCAATTTATTCATGAAAGTGCTGTAATATAGTCATGGAAAAGTTTTGGAATTGTGTTGTAAAAAATTAGTGGGAACTGTGTTTGTTAATATTCATGTTTCTGAATAGTATTGTAAGCTCAGTCCCTGAATAGTGTAGGACTGGGGGAGGCACAGAGAAACCCAACAGGGTCAATTTATAGAAGAGAAGCAGCTGTTGAGTGATTTTTATTAGTGAATTTTTTTTTTTTTTTTTTTTTAGATTTTAGATTTTAGATAAAATTAGGGAGGGTACGAAAAGATAACAAATTATAAGTGGGAAAATAGGATAACGCATTTCTAGTAAAAGACACTACGATAGGTAGCTCCACCAAGTTTATGTTGTATTGTCAAGTGATCTGTAGTGGTTTTGTTTTTAGTAATCGTGATGTTTTATGGAACGGAAGAAAAACTGGATTAAAAACATTTTGTTCATTTTTTAAACCCACTGAGTAGCGCATTACACATGGTCTATAATATTTGAGTACTGCAATCACTAAGGAACAGTGCTAATAATACAAAACAGTAATGTATGAAATAATACAGACAGTAAAATAATTCCATGTTCCACGAAAAAAAGGTGGATAAGTGACTTTTCAAAGAAAAAATCTCTGTCAATTAAGAAATGCAAACAAAAACTGTTAATCAATGAATACTACGTTTGGAGAAAATCTGGACAGAAGAGCCAGTCTGTAAAGAAAACCAACAAACAGAAAACAGAAATCAAACCACAGTCACTGTCCACAGTCACATTAATGGTTCTTGCCTCTAAACCAGATATAATGACTTTTTCCTTCAGGATGACATTTGTTCCTAAAATAAATAAAAAAATGTAGGACAATGACAAATGGAAAACATAATGCTAGAAAACAGTGGGCCCTAATAGATTAATGAATATAGTACATTGAAAAATACATATAAGATGGAAAGCACTTGATAAAATTATTAAATAAGAACCGTACCAAGAGAAAGAAAATGATTATAATGAATTGCAAGAACTTGTGAAACAGGATATTAGAAAAGTCAACCGTGAAATAGAAATGAATATTGGAGTGGAAACAAAAACGCTATATAAACTGTAATATGTGTTGTTTTCACTATTACAACAGCTAAAGAAGGAGAAAGGATGAAGTAAAATTCTAGAGAACGAAAGGTAAATTGCTGATTTTCAAAGTAAATATGAATGTGTTTTCCATTGAAGAAATTAATAAAATACCAAAAACTGTAGTTGGATATATATTAAATGGTGTGATAATTGAAGAGACAGTATTTCTATACTGTAGGTGCTAGAAGCACTTAAGATAACTCTACAAATTATTGTTAAGAAAACGAGATTGGAACATTGTAAGTGTATTACCCATCTATAAAAAGATTACAAAATAGAACCAATTTATTATAGGCCCTTAAGTTTTACTTATATATGACTTATACAGTATATAAAGGTTTTTGGATTAACAACTAAATTAGAGGACTGTCTGTTTGGGAATAGGTTCCTAGTTGACAATCAACATGACTTTAGAAAATGTAATTACCACACAATTTGTCCTTAATTGCTTAGTAGGCTTAAAAGTTATAGAGAACTTAAACAATTCTTTACTACTTTTTGTGCCCTTGAATGTCTTTACAATGCGCCCCCACTCACTACTTACAGTAAGTCTCCTCAAGTAAAGGAGGTGTCCTGGGGCTACCAGGAAAATGTCCGCTGCTGCCAATGGTTGCCCTTATCTCCCCTCCAGAGCAACTTCAAGAAGAAGGCAACTACTGCAGATTCGATTTTCAGAGGGTTTTTTTTCATAAAGTTCCATCTAAAATATTAATTCTCATTTTGCATGCAGTGGGCGTTCAAGATAACGTGCTTGGACTGGAAACGGATGAAAGAATAACAGACAGTGAATAGAGGTGAATGCTATAAGGGACCTCTTGTGTGGCTCAACAGGTAGAAAGCGCAGGCAGGACTTTTTGATCACAGATTTGAATCTGGGTTATGAGCCAGCTGTTCTTGGGACTCTCTAAGTGCCAGTGCACAATTGGGTAAGCCCTGCAGAAGACAGGACTGGATTTGTCCACCAGGGCTGTCTCATCACTGACCCCTGTGGCCACCCAGGCATTTGCAAGCATAGGATGCTTTCAGTGAGGGACATCCCTCTTCTCCAGCCAGTACTGAACCTAGTATAGGGCTTTGGTGCCTGTGACGTGTTAAAAAAGAGGAATGTTTCCCAGGTGCCAGGGTTGGAGGAGTCTGCCTACCTACCGTTCATCATCCTCCCCTGCTTGGACGATAGCCGAGAGCCAGGATGTGAAAAACACACCATGGGCATGTCAATATTGATTGGGTATAACAAAAATAATTGATGCTCTAAATTTAGAAAACAAAAGATATGAAGTCCCCCATTGGGGGGGGTGAAAATAACAAAGTACCAAAGGAATATATTCTGTACCACTCCTCTTCCTAAATTATTCCTGATCTAGATTCTGATATAGTCAATAAACTGGTGCAGTTTGCAGGTGATACTAAAATAGGAGGACTAAGAAACACTGTAGAAGATGCAAAGAAAATTCAAAACAATTTCGACTGAATTCAAGACTGGGCAGAAAACAAGACCTGGCAGAAAACAATGTCAACAAGTGCCGAGTATTAAGTACAGTAGAAGTAAAAAACAATATACACTGAGGTTTCAGTACTTGCAGATTTAACATTCTTAAATCCTGGCATTTAAAGTGGAGTTGCAAGTCTAAACTGCAAGTATAATGCTTTGTTTCAGATATGGAACATGAGGACATAACAACATTCAGTAAAACAATGTAAGACATTTATTCCATATTTCTTGTTGCCGGTTTCTGAAATATTCTAAATTTAGAATATTCAGTATTTTAT